AAAATCGCATTTGACTGATATTTAATTGTGAAACTTCATTAAACAACAGCCTTTTGAGTTCAACTGTAAATGAGTAACTTCTTGTCAAATTATCAGTTGGAATAACGGCGATTGTATCTGTATTGACACCGTTTAAAATATAATTTGTCATGGCATCTGTATTTATATGGATCATGTCTTTGGAATTTGTGATATTTGGTAACCTACTTCCATATTCTGTTTCATTCACAATTTTCTCTTCGAATCCACTTAAATCACTAAATTCACTATTTCTGAGGTCTAACTGATAATTGTTATCAATCTCAATCATAAAAAAAGTTGAGAACATACCAGAGTCCGCTACAAACTGATTTATTTTTCAGCTGGGTTCAAATCATTTGCTTCACTTATGCATTGCTAATTCATGTTTCATATTATCTTCCAGTTTGAAAATTGGATTGAATTTGATTAAAAAATCAGTTGCTTCACTTTTCCAATTTTCTGTCTTTTAACGGATGAAATATTGATTGTTCGTTCTTTCATGTTTTATATTATTAGATTATATATTCTTTTAACAAATCCTTCAGTTAGTTGTTATTTAGAACACCTACTTTGCTTAATGTATGGACAATTTATGAGAATTTATTTTTGGCACCATTATTTCCAGCCAATATCAATCCACCTAACAATTCCAATATGCCTAAGAGGTCTGCAGCATTATTATAATAAACAACACCTGAGCCGATTTTCTTGTAATTTTTAATTGTCCGATGAATTGGAATATCACTCAATTCGTTTAATTCATCAAAAACCATTTTTGATAATGGTGAATGTTTCTTTTTACTGTTAAACCTCTTTGTTAATTGGTCTAAACTATCAAAGTCCACCTGTTTATCATAGACGTTTTTACCATCTTTATAAGTAACTGGTTTGAGTTGTCCGTCGATAATTACATTTCAATAAATACCAGTTTGGGGTTAATTTTATACGCGTTCCTCTTTTTTTGTGTATAAATACCCTTACCTTTTTTGATCATATTCTTTCCTTCTTTAAAAGATATTACTCTTTCTCTGTATCTTTTCAGGGAATCAATTTTTTTTATATTCAGCAATTTTATCGTTGTTTTTCTTTCTATTGTTTTTTGTCGTGCTTAATGATCCCTATTTCTGTTCCAATTTTCTATTTATTTCACCAACTTCATCATGTATCTTTTTTTCACAGAATCTGGGTTTGTCAAGTATTCCAAAAAAGTATCACTAGGTAATGGTAGTTTATGCTTTTGCATAAAGCTAAAATCATCATCTGTAAAATCATTATTCGCATCAATAATCAATTCTCGTGCCTCGCCAATCGGCCTGGTGATGCTAATCTTTTAACTTGTGCAGAATATGGTATAACTTGATGTGAAATTTTTTTTCTCAATTCAATGACTTCTTCAATTTCCTTTTCTATTTTCCCTCTTCTTGGCTCAAATTCCTCCTTCTTTTGTTCGCACACATCTTGCTTAGAAGCTTGAACTCTTGAACTTTTATAACACCCCTTACAACTTCAGTTATTTTTCCTGCTTCAATTTTGGGAATACTAAGCTGTTTGAATCTTTCAATATTCATTATATAATACGTTATATAAACTTATCTGAACTAATCTGAACTTATCTTCAATTATATAACGTAATAGTATGATGGAAATTCCAAATTATGATTTCAATGAAATATACAAACTTCAAACAGCTTTCCACATATGTACCTAAATCTACATTCAGAGTGATTGTATGTGGAAATCTAGTTGTGGCAAAACAAACCTCTTGTATCACATTTTGATGAAACCATTAGCTTACTATGACCAGATCCATTTATATGGCAAAAACCTTGAGCAAGAATAATACAAACACATGACAAAAGAATTGAATGATTTTAGTAATGAGGTTGGTTATGATACAATATCTTATAGTAATGGTGAGATAACACTTGTCACTAGTATTGATCCTGATTCTCAAACTATTGTAACATTCAATAAAACTTATTGATTATTTCATGCAAGAGCGAAAGAAAAGTTGCTCAGTTTTGTATCTTAGTCGGAGTTTTTTTGATACTGCAAAGAGCATCAGAATAAATTACACACATTATAATAATAATTACAGTAATAATAATAACGCGAATATTTATACAGGATAACCTATCAGTTCTAATAAAAAGAACTGTTATCAAAAGGGTCCTGTAATTATCTCATAAATAACTAAAGTATAAAGAAAAATAAATTAACACTAAGAAATCTAAGATTCAAAATCAAAATCTGTAAAAATTATTGACTTATAAGACTGAAAAGAGTTGTGAATTATGGAAAAACTCTTTTAAATTACTCTTAAAAAGAAACCTACAATTTAAATTTCTTAAATGCCGAGGTAAAGTATTGTAAACTAGAGCCCCTTCAAAAGGCAAACCTTCTCCGTCCAAATTCTAATTTGGCTTTGGGAAGTTTTAGTGAAAACCCATTGTTTCTAGTGTCAATGTTGTGTTCAATTTTTGTAAAATATCCTTTAAAAGGGGTACAGACAGACAATCAAACACAAGCTGGCAGTACTGTCTCTTTATTTAACTCTCCACTGTCTGGACTTGTTAATTTCCGCCGATAACGTTCTGACTTCGACTTTCAATGCTTTCAATTCCACTCTTACGAGAACGTGACCAACAGAGACCCAAAGGTCCACAATGCGTAAAACAAGTTGAATAATTGCTTTGTAGATTTTCTCAGCACTGTTCTTGTCGATTAAAGGTCGGATTCTCCTGAGTAAATTAAATCTTCCAGTTGCTCATTTTGTGAAAATGTGATTCGAGATTTAAGGATGAATCTAAGTTTACACCCCAGTATTTATAGGATGACGTGGTATTAACCAGTGTTCCATTTACAGTCAAAGCTAGTTGTCTTTTATTCAATGTATTAGGCCTTTTGGCAGTAGCAAAGATCATACACTCAGTTTTGCCCTTTTTTAGATTAAGGACAAGCTCATTATCACAGGTTGTGACAATCTTCACTGAGATGGCTTTGAATGGATTCCAGATCTTTAGCAGCCGGGAAAATTACTATATCATCCGCATAGGTGATGATTGAGGTTGTCTGAAGAGGCGTATGCACATCATTAAGATGGATAGTAAACAATAGCGGTCCCAATATACTTCCCTGTGGAACTCCAGAAAATATGGGATTGGCATCTGACAAAACACCTTTGAATTGAACTGATTGCGTTCGAGAAAACAAATAATCAGTAAACCAATGAAGCTCTTTATTGTTAATTCCATAAGACGGCAACTTATTAAGAAGGCACGAGTGACTAACAGTGTCAAATGCTTTTGATAGATCGATAAAAACAGCAGCCGGGCTGTTTCCATTGTCAACTTGTTTTCTGATTATGTCCGTAAAATATGTAACTGCTAGCTCTGTAGGGCGTTTGGATCGAAATCCGAACTGGAAAGATTCTCGAGGTGTGACAACAACTGTTTATATACAATCCTTTCCAACATCTTAGACAATACTGGTAGTATGGATATAGGCCTGTAATTGTCAAGCTAAACCATGGAACCGCTTTTGAAAGCGGTATAACCTTGGCGGCTTTCCATTCCATGGGTACTGAACCAGACTGCAAGGATAAGTTTATTATTTATCCTTTAACATTCCCGGGGGAAGATTATCCAGGACGGTCGAATATTATCTTTTAAGATTTCTCAGCTCTCTGAAGACTTCATCATCGGAGACTGAACTAAAAACAAAATGTTCACGTGATGTGGTTTCACGTGAATTGACAGGCTTACCCCAGGCAAAATTGCAAAGCGGAAAACTTTTGGTCTTCAAAACACCAGCTTTAGTGGAAAAGAAGTCACAAAAGCCTTGGGCAATGGAGGATGTGTTTGGCCATTCACTTTGGTGCGTTGTCGTTTGTAAGATGACCAGTCAATCTCACGATTTGTCCTACGAGCCTTTCTGAGTAGTTGATCCCTCAAATTCATTTCACTTTTGACTTCACTAGACATCCAAGGACACAGACGACCTTTGATTTTCTTGGTGATGAGAGGGGCATGTTTATCTATAGATTGCTGCAGAATACACTTAAAGGGAGAGCAAGCATCATTTACACAAGATGATGTAAAAACAGAGCCAAAGTCACTGGAACTCAACTCGTTACTAAAGGCCACAGGATCATAATTCGCATAATTTCTCCACGTTATCAACTTGGGTTGATATTTAAAGTTGTGAATCTTTCGAATACAGCCGACTAAATCATGATCACTTAAACCAGCAGGAATTACTTTGACAGAATAAATATTCCACGGTTCGTTGGTGTAGATGACGTCAATCAAAGACCTTGAATCCTGTGTAACTCTCGTGGGATCTTTAATGAGCTGTTTTAATCCGAAGGCAGTCAAAATGGATTTCAATTCTTTGTGGTCTGACTAGACCAAATAATTACAATTCATGTTCCCTGTTAAAATGCATTCTTTGTTCTCCAAAGAGATGTTCGTAAGCATTGATTCCAATTTGCAATTAAAATTTTTGGAAAGATGTTTCGATGAATCTGGAGGACGATAAATAAATCCAGTGAGAAAACCTTTAGATTTAGGAAATAAAACTTCTATCCACAGACATTCAATATCGTCTAGTTATATATATATAGTCATATATTATATGATTGCCCAAGTAAACCTGAAATAACAAGGATTTGCAATGAATTAGGTGTTACCAAAGACCAAAATATTAAAGCCACCAAAAAAATGATATTTATTTTTGTATGTTGACAAACCAATGAAAAAAATTAAACGAAACTTTTACGGAAATATATAATGTAATGATATAACATGGGTATTTTTAATGACCAATCTTCTCATCAATCATTTGGAAAAAGAATACAAGGATCACCTGGTATTGGCTTTAGTTTAACACAAAAAGGGAAATATGACTTAAATTATAAAAAATTAACAAATGTTGCTGTTTCCAACGATGCAATAACAAAACATCAACTTGATACAGCAATGACTGATAAACATGATAATAATCGAGATATTGATCTTAAGGATACTGGCAATGTCATCAACAGCAAACAACAAACGTTCAATGAGATGACTACGAATAGAGAGACTCTAGTTTGTTATAAAGATGTTCGTGATGTATTCATAAGTCTTAAAGAATCTGTTTTTCCAATGGAAACTCATTTAGATATGGGAAACAGTTATATTTACAATGTCAAGTCTCCAATAAACAATTATCAAGAAACTAGCAAAGGAAACGTCGATGGGAAATTAGACAAAAACGTAAACACTAGTGTTGTACAAAATGTAATAATAATAATAATAATAATAATAATAATACACTTTATTTAAAGAGGGTGGCACGGAATAGTTACAGAAACTAGTAAACGTGGCCCTCTATCTAAATTAAAATTACAAAAGCATAAGATTCAGAATATACAAAGTCTAAGTACAAAATAAATAAAACTAAGGACATGAGATATAAAACAAATGAGAAGTAATGAGACAAGTTCTTTACAAAGCTGATAAAAGAGATTTTGAAAGTTATATAAAAAGAGATGGTAGTTTAAATATGACCGGTAACTTACAATTGAATAATTCTAGAATTAAAGGATTACCAACAACAACACCTCAATCAGGTGATGAAGCTATCTTAAAAGATCATGTTTTAACATTAATAAATGATCTTCCTAATGTTTATTTAGACTGTGCTGGATCATTAAATATGGATAATAACAGGATAAAAAAAACCTGAATAATGAACCTCAAAATGGAACTGGTGCAATCAATAAAAACTATCTTGATTCATTTGTTCGAAAATCTCGTATTAAACCAAGTCAGAAAGCAAATCAGTTTGATTATTTGATGAAGAATACTTTGGAATAGTCTGATTTGATCCCTTGTGGAAATAGTTTTAATCTGGTAAAGATTGTTGATTTATCACCAGATAAAGGTTTTTTTTTTCACCCTTACAATCACAAAGTAATTTACACAACTAGCTTGGGTGGTTAGAAATACAAAATAGGAATTCAATGTTTTCCTGTAACAAAAAATATTGATCACAATTTGAAATCTTGAATGATTACCAACTTTGGCATAAATCGAGAATTTCAATTGATAAAGCAACATCCAAAGGATTAACTGTTGGAAATGTAGAAGTAAAAAACAATTCTCACCGATATATTGATTCAAACAACAATGTAGAATATATTTATTACCATAGAGTAATAGTTAATTTTAGGAAAACTGCGGCAGATCAACTTTATCAACTTCATTTATTAGTTGAAATCCTCCAAGATGGAATTGATTTACAAACTTACCCACAACAGTTTACAGAGAGTTATATTTTTTTTATGGTATAATTGAAGCCGAAAGTGATTTAGATGCAGATAAAATTTATGAATATCACATAGTCTATGAAATTTTAAAACCCACAAAAGTGAAGAAGAATGTTCCTCTCGATATGAATGGACAAAGAACACTAAACTTCAATCCACATGTTATAAATGCTTGGAATTGCCATTTTGAAAAAAGAATACTAGATGTACTAGTTTTTCTGTGTGGAGAAGAAATAAACACAGTAGCACAATACTCAAATTTTACAATTTTCAAAATAGCAATAACTACAAAAGATATTTTTAGAAACACAGGACAATATACATTGTCTTTCAAACGTTGTGATCATTCTTTTAATTTAAACGAGGGAATTAATCAAACTGGTATCAATGTAAATAACTGGATAATAAACAAATATAGTTCATTTAATTTTGTTTATCTTTGCAATAGAAGATCAATTATGCCAGAGGAAATGTTTGCTACTGTTCATGTCAAAGTACCACTATTACAAGGTTAAAAAATATAAACATATTATAGCGGAGCTCGACGCGCGCGCGAAGCGCGCGCGTGGGCGGAGCCCCATGGCTAAGTAAATCTACCCATCCCAGAAAATTTGGTAATCACGTGACCGTACACCGACCGCCGACCGCCGACCGCCGACCGTCCGCACCACAGGCATACCAATGTTTACTCTCGCACTTTCTAGCTAGTTTGGGAGCCCAAGAGAAAACTAATTGCACATCAACGTTGTGATTAATTGACAGCTATCAAAACAGGGCATCCGCTGACCAGTATCACCTGACCGTACCGCGGGCTCAAGTGTCGACCCATCGAGGTCGAGTATTTTTTTAAGTTATCCGCTGACAAATTACCAGTTTCAAATGATCGCAGGCTCAAGTTTATTTTTTCCTAGGATTCATATCAAATATGTTGTGTTTCTGTCACTATGGCCCCGCAGTATTAGGATTTTGATTTCAAACTGACCTCGGAAGCGAAAATTCAGCCAGTTTTTTTAAAAGTACAGGCGGGGAAGACCTTATCTTACCATGGTCACGCGTTGGTCACGCTCGACGTCCAATTTTTATACTCTGATTGGTCAAAATTTGACAGGTGAGTTCATGTGGAAAAATTATGCAGCATCTTGAAAGTTGTTTACTTTGACAGCTGAAGCTGACAGAGTTTTGTTTCAACTTGTGATGTTTTTAACTGTCTTTTTCCTCTGAATGTACGAAATGAAATACAGCTGCTATCAAGAGTCATCTGTTATTCATGGCTGGTTTGTTTACTGGGTACGTTTTTTGAGAAATGCGTCGCTTGTCAAAATTAGGTAATTCGATTTCGGAAGGCATCGTTTTCGTTTTTCACCTTGCTTTAAAATGCGTAAGAGGGTTTAAAAAGACTCAAGCAACTGTGGCCTTCCTTTATAGCTTTCAGGAACTGAATCTCGAATGGTAAGCCTGAGTAATTATTGTATTTGATGTTTGTTTTTGTTATATCTAATTTCATGAAGTCTTGCACAGTTCACTCTGACAGTTTATGCGGCAAGTTTATGCACGTTTGTAGGATTTGAGTCAGTATCAGGTTTGATATAAGCTTACAGAACTTTAATAAGCTTTCAGATATATTTGCTCACCACAAATAGAAAGAAAACGTTCCGAAGAATATTTAGTTATAAATTTGGCTGCAGAAAGAAAACTTTGAGCGATTTCCTTGCTTCGAGGAGTTCACCTTCGAAAACAGTAAACACCGCGTTGGGAAGCCGGCTTAAGCTTTACGCTTAAAGACTCAGGATTTTTAGAGACACTTTAATGCTTGTCTTCATGAATGAAAATTGTTGTCATTGTAAATGTTTCACCGAATTATATTTCTTTTTTTGATTGTTAGTAGTCTCTCTTTCAATTTCAATCGCTTGTCCATGCCGTTTGTTTTCATCGTTCGTGAACATCGCTTGCAGGAGTACTCAAAACTGTCGCGCGTATCAAACGCTTTTATAAGATTACACATCGTTATAACTGAAACCATCAAATAACAAAAAAAAATAATAAATTCGCTATTATGTTGAACCGTAACTCTATTAAAGTTCATTCAAACACTCGACCACGCTGACAGCTCGCACTATAGAAACGAGAACCAGCTGGCCGTATGGGTGATTTTGGAAATTTTTGATCGGTTTGCTTAAAGCCCACGATTGATCGTCCTGATTGACTGAGTGCAATTTGTCTTGAAAAATTGTTAAATACCGCATTCTGTCCGAGGTCTGTATGATAAATAGTACTGTTTCACCTCAAATGCCATGTATGAAAATTATAAAAGGTTGGTTTAAACACCCCCAGATTTGTTGGCAAGAATTTGCAAAGTAAACCTGTAGAACGCAAAAAAAATTTGGCGTGATTTGTTTTCCAAGAATTTGTTGTCGAGGCCTAATCTACTGTGATCTTGAATGTGATCGAAGATGTTTGCTATTTTTTGGGTGTACATATAAGGTTATCAATTCGATGTAAGATGTTTCACTCTAAAATAACTTAGCCTCTCCCTCAAAAGTCACATGAATGTGCCCTTAAGTTAACTGATTTGTGGATTAAAAGTTTATCGTTTGATTTAAATTATAAATTTATTAATTGGAGCTTCGCTTTTAGCCCTGGCTAAATCTATATATTATATGAGACGTAAAAATCGATTGCACTGTCAACAAAGAAAAGTTATCAGAGATAAAACTTTTATATATACATTGTGTTAAAAAATTCTGGTCTTATAAACAGGCTTACAAAAATTTCAAGCGATTAAATTTAACTGCAAATATAAGCTCAACATGCTTAGTTGTCACTGGCACAATAGTCGGCGGAGTGACATTTAACCCTGTTATTATATCAGGGACTATTTCGGACGCTGGTTGATTGCTTAAAACATTGAGCGAAATCAAAGATTATCAGAAGAAAACCGAAATGTGTAAATTTGCTTACAGAACATATTAAAAAGTGTTAGTTGATTTACGGGCTTCGCTAAGAGGAGCAGAATTCAATGGCACTCAATTTGTTTTTGAAATGAAAATGATTGACGATATAATCATTGATCTGTGTCCACTGGTTGAAAAATTTGAAAAGCAGTATGACAAAAAATTCAAGTAAACTTTGAATGACCTTCAGACGTCATGTTTTCTGAGAAGCTCGCAACAGCTCACTTGTCAACGATTGACTGTATTTGATCACCTTTCCAAAACATAATATCATCCCGATATTTTTTATTATATTTGATTGTCTTCTTTGATAATGATATTGGGATGAAATAATGTGGTAGCTTCAACATTTTGAATAATTGTTTTAAGACAAATTCAACATTTCTCGTCCGCTTTCGTTCTTTGTTGACTTTTGGAATTACCTCAGATATTTGAAATATTTGTTTGTTTGTTTATTGGTGGTAAATCAATAATATTCTTACAACAAACATCAGGGTGTGTGTTTTCTATATGACATTTCCTAAGGTAAACAGACCTCTTTTTTATCTTCTGAAGATTTTCATAAAAATTGAAGTATTCGTTGACAGTGTTGTAACCCTCAACTTGACCGCAATTGCCACAAACGAGAGTTCCTGTTTCGTTTAAAGTATTATGAGTTTCACAACAAGATTCAGTCTCTTGTTTTACATACTCATTCAACTGTTTGTAACAAAATGGACAGTGACGATCTGTTGTACTAAAATAATCGTGTAGTGTTGTAACGGGATTTTATCTTTTTTTCCATCCCCTCCTCGTCTTCGCCTCGCTCAGACTGCGGTGCCAAAAAAAAGAATCTCAGCTTCGCTTTGCTTACAATGATTGTGTTACGTGGGGTGTTATATATGACTAAAGTTGAATTATCGAGATTGAATTGGCAAGCCAATATCAACAGGATCTCTCTTCCCACCAAGCTCAACCGAGATTTTAACGCCCCACCATCCCCGTGTCTCGGCGATCACTTGAATCCTTCTCGTGCCTTCGACACTGCATCCGATTCAATCGATCTTCCGAGACATGCCGTGGGGCTAATCTCTCAGGCTCCGCCTACGAGCACAAAATAAATTGGAAAATAATATTGGAAAACTGTGCCGGTGCCCCCAAGTGCTATACTACTTAAGAATGATAATACGAAATGTATTTTTCATGTTTTAGTTACAAAGTAAAAGAAAAACGTGGCGATCTTTCTAATCTTCATTTGGTAAGTACACTGTATTACCATTGCTGTTCCAAGCACATGGTTGCTGAGGCGATAAATTAATGTTTGTTGAACAAGTATTAACATACGTTATCAATCTAACAGTAAATCTGGTCTTACCTTGATTATCTGTAGCCAA